TTGAATGTTTCGACACCCTTGAGTTTCGCTATGAACAATTTATCGTAGTGTGTATTTGCAGCCCCAAAAATCGACTTTTTTTTTTTCAATGAAACGCGCTTAGGATTTTTTGAAAAGACTTGAGCTCCAAGTGTGAATTTTTTGAGATGTCGACCGTTTTGGGACGATGTTACTTTTCAGCCACTCCCCGTGCCTTGTGACACCGCGTTTTTTCGACGCGTCGTCCGCTGCTCATCTCGCAGCGTGCATTTCTTGAATCCTCACACCTGGGAACGTCGTGGTGGGTGTAAAAGTCAATGGTTGGTTTCGTGAGAATAACGTCTGCGTTTCCATCAATTTCTTGAAACTCGCTTATCATTTTTTGGGATTTCACGATTTTTTGACTGCAAATACACTCTAGTACAGTGTAAATTAATTTCACCTCAGGTTCAAGCTATGTAGGAACCGGACTGGAAGCCCTCGTGGGTCTTGGTGATATATTCTGCTACATTTGATGTCCGTCGTTGGTTAGTATTAGGAGAGGTGGAGGGTCGAATCCTCCCGAGGGCATGCAGGTTCTACTAACTTTTTTTTTGTCCACAGTGAGCCCAGCCAGATGGTAGCTTTGAAAAAAGCCTATTGGCGTGTGTTATGGCTGCGACGCAAACATGGTGTGGTGGCTTTTTCAGAAACTCACTCGATCTCAGCGGAAAGAAAAAAGGAAGAAACAAAACTGGTTTTCCATGAATGTATGCCCTAGAGGATTCGAACCCCCTCTCCTCAGATGAAGATAATCTAAAAATTATTGAGCCGGAGTGATCACCACAATCCACGAGGGCTTTCAGCACTTAGTTTCTAGCATTGTCTTGGGTGAATCTCATTCAGAAGACTTGGGTGAGTAAATTATCCAATCAATTGGAGTAAAGGCCGGAGATTCGAGTCCACGAGCTCACTCATTCCGTTTTCCCGCCAACAAACTGGCTGCTTCCCACCGGAGGATGCAAGAGCAAAAGAAGAAAAAGGTTCTACTTTGCCTCATGCCCTCGGGAGGATTCGAACCCCCCCCCCCCCCCCCCGCCGCCTCTCCTCTGATTCTGGGTTCAACATCTATTGAGCAGGAGTGATCACCACGATCTTCATGGGCTTGAGCAGTTGGTTTCTAACATCATTGAGTGAAAATAATTCAGAAGACAGGCTGGAGAATAAATTTTCGAATTAATTGGAGTAGTTTCTGGAGAATCATTCTCCTTCGCAACGAAACTTTCTGATTCCTACCGAAAGATAACAGGACAGCAAAAAAAAAAACATACTTTCACCCAACATGCCCTTTGAGGATTCGAACCCGCTCTCCTGTCAGATGGAAACCAAACGAAAATTCAGAGGACAGGCGGGAGAATAATTATAAATTATCCAATCAATTGGAGTAGCCTACAGTGAATAAATGGCGGGAGATCGCGTCGGCTCGCTCGGTAGGGTCCGCCTCTCACCTCGCCCAGCAGAGGGGGCGGAGAGCGAGCTGGACGCAGCACCCAGCACCCAGTACACGCGCTCCGAACCCAGCACCTCAGTGCCCCGGGACGCGCGCGAGAGTCGGCCCCAGAGTCCGCGCCTCGCCTCACCCACTAGAGTCCGCTCGGATCGCAGAGTCGCCGTCGCAGTCGGACGCACCCCGCCCAACCAGCCAACACGTCGGGTATCGGAATTCGAAACTCGGAGCTCGGGGCTCGATGCAAGAGGTGCGAGGAGGGAAGAACGAAGGAAGAAGGATGGTGCGAGGAAGGAGCGGAGGAGCGAAGAAAGAGGTGCGAGGACGTGCGAGGTGCGAGGAGGAAGGAAGGAGGAGAGAGGAGGAAAGAACGAAGGAAGAAGGAAGAAGGAGGGAGGGAGGGAAGTAGAAGGGAAGGAAGGAGGCGTCCTCCCGTGGAACAGAGCAGATCACGATAAAAGAAAGGAAAAGAAAAGAATACGCACTGTGATTGATCCTATTTAAAGAAATCAGCGCTGGGCTCTTTCTTTCCGAGTCAAGACGAAGGGGGAACGAGGAACGAGGGATGCGGAATTTCTCTTTCCGAATCAAGAGGAAAGAGACGAGTAGGAATCAAGAGGCATAGGAATTAAAAGGAACGAATAAGAGCCAAAAAACACGCACCCCTCCTTCCCAACCCTCAGCAACCCCTCAACCCTCCGTACACTCGTGGCGTAGCGCACACCTTTGAATACAGTGCGCGTGGTGGTGGCGCGCGCGACGAGGAGGTCGCACCCAAGGTTGTACCCGTCGGGCGAGATGGTGTGGTGGGTGAGGAAGTTCTGTGGGGGGGTTAGCTTTCTAGCTCTCGCACGGGGTGGTAGGAAACGGGGGGTGGAGGATGGGGAACGGAAGAAGGAAGAAGGAAGGAGGTCGAGGACGAGATCAAGGCCAAGGGAGGGGAGGGAGGGAAGGAGGGAAGGAAAACACACCCTCTCATGTGACACCGTGAGGAAGAGCTCGCCGGAGTTGGCGGCGGGGCCGTTTTGGCGGTACATCCTGGCCCGAGTCAGCCGTTATTCGAGGAGGAGCAGAGGGTGTGTACCGGAGGTGGTTCCCGCCTGCGTGGGGTGCAAGTAATCTTTTGAGGGAAAGTAAAGACAAGAACCAACAACACTCTCCCAACACGTCCCTATCGCCGCAGACCCAAAGTCCTCCCTCAACACCATCCCCTCGTCCACCCACCCGTGCCCATCCCCCAGATTCGCAGGCTGCCGGTCGCCAATGTGGAACCCGAAGCACTCATCTGCGCTATATGATAATTTCAAAAGTGCGCGGGACAACAAGAAAGAAACAAGAGCGACTGACAATCCGAGTGCGCCGGCGTAACCGAGGAAGCCGGCGTTGGTGAGGACGGAGGGCGTGCTGCGCCCGGAGATGATCACGTTGAGGGGCTCGCCGCCGTGTCGGCTCGCTGCATCATTCTATCAGTGAGATATACTATACGGTACATAGTGTTGGGGGCAGAATTGTTTTGGGGTAATTGTGCCAGGCACAATGGCAAAATGGCAGGGCAGAATGCGGCAGAATCTGGCAGAATTGGCACATCATTTCTCGACTTTTATCGCTGATAGCTGCAGAAATTGAAAATCTTCCTGCTGAACTGTAGGATCCTCAATATCCCAGCCTCCTGCAACCTCGTTTGCAGTGATATCAATTTATCCACGTCAATTTTGCCTGCCCTCTTGTGATCAAGATGTTCAACTTTCACAAAATCAACAAGTTCACATCCAACGATTCATCTCTTGGGGTCCAAAACCAGGGTTTTATTGTCCAGAATATCATCCAGGAGGTATGTGAGCAGGTAAAATCACAAATTGGACCTGCTTTGGGTGGCAATTTGCACAAAACTGTGTTTCATGCATGAAGTTCTGCCAAATTTTGCCAACCTTGATCCCATTGAGCCATTTTGCCTGCCATTCTGCCGGGTCAAATGGCAGAATGGTAGGATTCTGCCAACAACACTAACGTCGGTACAAGATGTGCGCACCGTTATTGAGCATCTCCCCGCCCAGGATCCGTGGGTCGTAGAACTCTGGCTGGGTGGGCGCCGGCGCCGCGCGCACGGGGAACGCGAGAGCCACCGCCACCGCCGCTGTCAACCACAAGGGAGTGTGCATCGAGGGAGCGGGTAGAGCAGAGCGCACAGAGCACAGGGAACTGGCAGACGGCACCCCTCGCCCGGAACTAGAGGTATTTGTGCACGAGGAATCGAGGAAGTTGTTACAAGTTTGATTAGCGTCGAGCACGATGGATTCATGGAAGCATGACGCAGCAGTGTTCCACATTCGTTTTATCACCGTGTCGTGCTGGTGTCAATCTGGACGGGGAGTACGGAGCGTTCCTCTTTTGAATGCTAGTCATCGAATATGTGGACCAGATTGCATTTGGTTTGTACAGTCCCAGAGCCTCGGAAGAACGTGCGCTTGAAGGTGATCGACGTTGATGACGAACCGGGATTCTGCGAGAAACGGGCAACTGCCAATTGGCTTGGCACAGAGATAAGATAACACAGTGCATCGGAGATCCGGGCCGATGCTCTTGAGCTCGTTTCTGTTCCAACCCCCAGCAAGTCCTGTGATAGATTGTAGCCTAGATTGGATGCATTGGAGGACCATGCAGCAAGCCCTCGTGGATCGTGGTGATCGCTCCTGTTCATTCTAGTGATGCTGCAGATTTCGGGAGAGGCGGAGGTTCGAATCCTCCCGAGGGCATAGTAGGTAGTTGGTAACCAAGCTTTTTTTCTTCTTTGACAGTCACCACTAGGAACTTTAATTCAAGTTAGACTGTTCAATATCCTTGATTCTCCGGCAACGGGGTTCATTCCAACTTGAATGTGGTTGTTATGCTCAAGGATGCAGTGTGAATTTATTCTCACAACATGGGGAAAGAAAGAGATAGAGAAAGCCCTCGTGGATCGTGACGATCCCTCCCACTCAATAAGCCTTCAGCTAGTGATCTTATGGGAGAAGAGGGGGTTCGAATCCTCCCGAGGGCATAATGCCCATTATTGATTCCATTTTTTTACATCCGGGAATGGCGAAGCAGATCTGCGGTATATTTTTTTCCATGTTGAATTCACGATCTAGATGAAGAGTTCAATCTCCTTGAGGTCTCCCTAATGGTAACCTATTCCAAGTTATAGTTATTGTTATGCTCTAGAACACAGTGTGAATTGAATTCCCTCAAGTTCAAGCTACGAACAGGGCCATAAAGCCCTTGTGGATCATGGTGATTGCTCCTACTCATCGATATTTATATTGAAGCATTTGCCAGTAAGGATCTTATGGGAGATCGGAGGTTCGAATCCTCCTGGGGTCGTGATGCAGTCATCAGTCGTTTTTCTCCGCCAACGGTCCTTACCCCTCTGCAAGATTCCGATTCTCGAGTTCGTTAAAACGCTAATACCTCTGATTCCTGTCCCTTGTCAATCGTTGTTCCAGCATTCAATGTGAATTAAATTCACTCAAGTTCAAGCTAAGAACAGAGAGATAAAGCCCTCGTAGATCGTGGTGATCGCTCCTGTTGCATGTCGACTGAGTGATATGATTTCAGGAGAGGCGGAGGTTCGAATCCTCCCGGGGGCTTATGGCTACAGTTCCAGTGTTTTTTTTCTTTTGACAGTGGGCGACCCAGGGTCATGGATGTTTAATCTACTTGATTCGGCATTCGGTGAGAGTCTAATATCTAATACTAGAGGGATTTTAGAGGGATTTTATGGCTATGCATTTATTTTGTGTTGGAGTTGGCATCCTACACAGTTCAGAATTGATTGATTCAAGTTCAAGCTAAGAACAGGAAGAGAAAGCCCTCGTGGATCGTGGCGATCCCTCCTACTCAATGAGCCGTAAGCAAATAATAATTTGGGGAGAGGTGGAGGTTCGAATCCTCCCGAGGGTATTTGCTCGACCGACACTTCCTTTTTCTCTCCGTGAAATTTAAAATTCAAGTTGGACTGTTCAATGTGCTTGATTCTCCGGCAACAACGAAGTTCAATATTAATGGATCTTAAATGTGGTTGTTATTCTGAAGGATACAGCGTGAATTATATTCACTCATCATGGGGGCCGGAAGAGATGGAAGAAGCCCTCGGGGATCATGGAGATCCCTCCCACCAGTGTTGTCTGAGGCCAGGCCGAGAGTCAAAAAGGTCTGACCCATTTGACCGTTTGACTGGGGTCTGACCGGGTCTGACCCTCAGCCTGACCCTCTCCAAATTTAAAAAAGTCCTTCGTTGCAACCGTTAAGGGTCATGTGCAATGCTAGCAAGCTTTACCTGACCACAATCCGAGGTTCTAAGTGGTCAGGACGAATTTCACCTGCCTACAGTATCAATTTTCAAAGATAGTCAGATATACTGGTTTGGAAAACTGCTATGTGAACGACAGGGCAACCCCATACCCAAATGCACCCGGAATGGCCTGTGAAAAGCTCCATAGTGATACTGATGTCAGATCATGAATTAATGTAACATGTGTATAGCTCAAAACTGCTGCGGGATGGTCAGAATTCAAAATCGGTCAAAGGAATCAATGTTGTCTTTGAAATGAGAAATGTGGCATAATCTGGCAATGTATGGCAAAGACCATCTGTTCAATTGTACCCACACTGCACACCTGAAGGGCACTTTGAACATCCAAAGAATGACGCGGAGAGCTTCAAACATGCTCCGAGTCATGGCCAGGGTGGGATAAAGAACTTCCGAGTGAGTTCGCATTATAGGATCGCTTGGTAGACGATATCGACTCGTATATCCATTCTCCCAATGATCCGATTTTTTTCCTTATTTTTCTGGTGGGTCTACGAGTTTAAAACGGGTCTTCCAAAAAAGGAAATCCGGCCTTGACGAAACGGTCAAAGACCGGTCAAGGGGTCTTGACGCCCGGTCAGACCCCGTCAGACCCCGTCAAAGACAACACTGCCTCCCACTCAATGAGGATTGAGCTGATGAATCCTATGGGAGAAGCGGAGGTTCGAATCATCCCGGGGACATCCGTTTCCCAAAACTTGAATTTCTTTTTTTCACAGTGAGAAAGTCGTAACCCCAGGGCCGTCGAAGTTCAATCTACTTGACTCGGCATTTGGTGAGAGTCTAATATCTAACATCAGAGCGATTTTATGGCTATGCACTTATTTTGCGTTGCCGTTGTCGTCATCTGCAGTTCAGTTCAGATTCAGTCAAGGTCGAGGTAGGAATAGGGAGAGAAAGCCCTCGTGGATCGTGGCGATCACCCCTACTTCATACATGTGTGCTTTCAACAGTTCTGGGAGAGACGGAGGTTCGAATCCTCCCGAGGGCAGAGCTGGGTGACCAAGCTTTTTTTTTTTCTATGACAGCTCCCTCCGTGAAATTTAAATTCACGATTTTGCTGAGCTGTTGAATATCTCGGATTCTCTAGCTATCTATTCACATGTCAATGGCTGCTCTCTATAATCTGGATTCAATGTCAATTAAATTTACTCTCAAGTTCAAGTTAAGAACAGAGAGAGAAAGCCCTCGTAGAACGTGGTGATCCCTCCTACTCAATGCGATTTGAGCCAGGCAAATAATAATTTGGGGAGAGGCGGAGGTTTGAATCCTCCCGAGGGCATAGTAGGTAGTTGGTAACCAAGCTTTTTTTCTTCTGTGACAGTCACCACTAGGAACTTAAATTCAAGTTGAACTGTTCAATATCCTTGATTCTCCGGCACGGAAGGCATTCCAACTTGACTGTGGTTGTTATTCTCAAGGATGCAGTATGAGTTAGATTCACAAGGAAGAGATGGAGGAAGCCCTCGTGGATCGTGACGATCCTCTCACTCAATGGCGAGGAAACCAGCTAATGATCTTATGGGAGAAGCGGGGGTTCAAATCCTCCCGAGGGCATGGCGCTTTGCATGGATAACTTTTTATTTCATCCGCACCGGGAAGGTGGTGAACCCCTGAGGCCAGGTCTATAAATTAGAAACAAGGTCTGATTCGGTCTGATTGAATTATTCAACATCCCTGAGTCCCGCTCCTAGTGCAGATTTTCTGTTGGAGTTGGCATCCTCCACAGTTCCGATTGATTGATTCATGTTCAACCTAAGACCAGAGACAGAAAGCCCTCGTAGATCGTGGTGATCGCTCCTACTTCATACTTGTGCTCTTTCAACCGTTCTGGGAGAGACGGAGGTTCCAATCCTCCCGAGGTCATTACAAGAACGGCTTTCTGTCTTTTTTTTCTCCGCCGACAGCTCCCTCCATCCCGCTCTGCAAAATTTAAATTCAAGTTGAACTGGTCAATATCTCGAATTCTCTAGCTACCCATTCGTATGTCAATGGCTGCTCTCTATGATCTGGATTCAATGTCAATTTAAATTAGATTATCTCAACATGAGGGAAAGAACAGATGGAGGAAGCCCTCGTAGATCGTGGTGATTGCTCCTACTTCATAATGGTGTCTAATACCTTGGGGAGAGGCAGAGGTTCGAATCCTCCCAGGGGCTTATGGTCACAGTTCCAATGTTTTTTTTTTTTGACAGTGGGCGACCCAGGGTCATGGATGTTTAATCAACTTGACTCGGCATTGGGTGAGAGTCTAATATCTAACACTAGCGCGATTCTCTAGCTATGCAGATTCTGTGTTGCCATTGTTGTCCTCCACAGTTCAGAATTGATTCATTCAAGTTCAACCTAAGAACAGAGAGAGAAAGCCCTCGTGGATCGTGGTGATCCCTCCTGCTAAATAATTGATCTGTGGCGATGCAATTCAAATCCGAGGAGAGATGGAGGTTCGAATCCTCCCGAGGACATGTGGTTGCAGTAGTGCTTTTTCTTTTTTGGACAGTGGGCGACCCAGGGTCATTGATGTTTAATCTACTTGACTGGGCATTTGGTGAGAGTCTAAGATCAAATACTAGTGCGATTTTATGGCTATGCATTTATTTCGTGTTGCCGTTGTCGTCATCTGCAGTTCAGATTCAATCAAGTTTGAGGTAGAAATAGGGAGAGAAAGCCCTCGTGGATCGTGGTGATCCCTCCTACTCAATGAGGCGTAGACAGATAATTATTTGGGGAGAGGCGGAGGTTCGAATCCTCCCGGGGCATACATGATTGGGTTATCCGATCTTTTTTCTCTCCGCCCACGGTCTGTCAAATTTAAATTCAAGTTGAACTGTTCGATATTTCTGATTCTCTAGCTACCCATTCATATCTCAATGGCTTCTCTCTATAATCTGGATTCAATGTCAATTAAATTCACTCTCAAGTTCAAGCTAAGAACGGAGAGAAAGCCCTCGTAGATCGTGGTGATTCCTCCTACTCAATAAGGCGTAGACAAATGATAATTTGGGGAGAGGCGGAGGTTCGAATCCTCCCGAGGTCATTAGGAATAGCTTTCTTTTTTTCTTTCTCTGCCAGCGGTCCCCATCCCGCTCTGTAAAATTTATTCAAGTTGGACTGTTCGATAATTCCGTCAAGCTCAAGCTAAGAACGGAGAGAGAAAGCCCTCGTGGATCGCGGTGATCCCTCCTACTCAATGAGGCGTAGACAGATGATTATTTGGGAGAGGCGGAGGTTTGAATCCTCCCGGGGGCATACATAATTGGGTTATCCAATCTTTTTCTCTCCGCCCATGGTCTGTCAAATTTAAATTCAAGTTGAACTGTTCCAGATGCTTGATCCCCCAGCAATAACGAAGTTCAATATTAATGGATTTTAAATGTGGTTTTTATTCTCAAGGATACAGCATTAATTATATTCAGACAATATGAGGGAAGGAAGAGTTGGAGGAAGCCCTCGTGGATCGTGGCGATCCCTCCTGCTAAATATGTCTATACTACATCATCCAAATTCGAGGAGATGCGGAGGTTCGAATCCTCCCGGGGTCATGCATCATGGCATATACGACACAATTCTTTTTTCTCTCCTCCGCCGACGCCTCATCCCCCTCCGCGAAATTTAAGTTGAACTGGTCAACATGCTTGCCAAGTGATTCTCCGGCGATGGAGGTCATTCGACTTTGAATGTGGTTCACGTTTTCCGGCCTGCAGTCTAAGCGAGTTAGATTCAGTCAAGTTCAAGCTAGGAACAGGGACAGAAAGCCTTCGTAGATCGCGGTGATCCCTCCCACTCAATATTGTAGTATTCAGTTGATGATCTTAGGGAGAGGCGGAGGTTCGAATCCTCCCGAGGGCATACGTTTGTTCAAACTTGAATTTCTTTTTTTTTCAGAGTGGGAAAGTCGAAACCCCAAGGCCGTCGAAGTTCAATCTACTTACGCGGCATTTAGTGCGGGTCTAATATCCAATACTAGAGCGATTCTCGGGCCATTCACTTATACCTTGTATTCCCATTGTCGTCCTCCACAGCTCAGAATTGATTCATTCGAGTTCAACCTAAGAACAGAGAGAGAAAGCCCTCGTGGATTGTGGTGATTGCTCCTACTCAATGCGGAATCTGCCGAAGGCAAATAATAATTTGGGGAGACGCGGAGGTTCGAATCCTCCCGAGGGCATGGACCACCATCCACCCTGTTTTTTTTTTTTTTTCCTCCTCCGCTGACGGTTCCCTCCATCCCCCTCTGTGAAGTTTAAATTCACGATTTTGCTGAACTGTTTAATATCTCTGATTCTCTCATATGCCAATGGCTGTTCTATAGTACTCGGATTCAATGTCAATTAAATTTCCTCAAGTTCAAGTTAAGAACAGAGAAAGAAAGCCCTCGTGGATCGTGGTGATCCCTCCTACTCAATGAGCCGTAGGCAAATAATGATAATTTGGGGAGAGGCGGAGGTCTGAATCCTCCCGAGGGCATGACCAGAATGTCTGACCCTTTTTTCTCTGCTAACGGGCCCCATCGCCCTCCGTGAAATTTAAACTCACGATGTACTGTTCCAGATGCTTGATTCTCTGGCTATCCATTCATATGCCAGGCTGTTCTATAGTACTCGGATTCAATGTCAATTAAATTCCCTCAAGCTCAAGCTAAGAACGGAGAGAAAGCCCTCGTGGATCATGGTAATCACTCCCACTCAGTGTAGAACTCTGGCTGATACGAACTTTAAGGCAGAGGCAGAGCTTTCGAATCCTCCCGGGGGCATGTGTTGTTGTCTTCCACTGTTTCTTTTTTCAACAGCGGGTCTGGCCAACGGTAGCTCTGAAAACAGGTTTGTCCAAATTTAACTGGCTTGATTCACTACTATCTAGTTCAAATTTCAAATTTCCTCAAATCTCCGTGAGTATTGCAATTTATAGTTGACATGCAAGGACGTAGTGTGAATTAGATTCACTCAGCATGGGGGCAGGAAAAGATGGAGGAAGCCCTCGTGGATCGTGTTGATCACTCCCAGTCAATACTCACATCTTCTAGAAAATATGAGGAGAGGCGAAGGTTCAAATCCTCCCGAGGTCATAGGTTGACTGCAATTGTTTTTTATTTCCACAGTGAGCCCAGCCATGTGGTGGCTTTGAAAACAGGTGCCGCAAGGCAGGATTGGGGTGTGCTTGGTAGACAGCTGCGAGTCTGCAACGCAACCATGGTGTTGTGGATGGTGGCATTTTTTAGAAACTCACTCGATCTTAACGGAAAGAAGAAATAAAAAGGACGAAACAAAACTGGTAACCCGTGAATGCCAGTGTATGCCCTCGGGTAACCAAGCTTTTTTTCTTCTTTGACAGTCACCACTAGGAACTTAAATTCAAGTTGAAGTGTTCAGTATGCTTGATTCTCAGGCACGAAGGCATGCCACCTTGAATGTGGTTTTTATTCTCAAAAATACAGCGTGAATTATATTCAGACAATATGAAGGAAGGAAGAGATGGAGGAAGCCCTCGTGGATCTTGGTGATCCCTCCCACTCAATATTGGAGATGCATTACAGCGGTTTCTTAAGGGAGAGGCGGAGGTTCGAATCCTCCCGGGGGCATAAGTATTCAGGCGGGGATTTTTTTTGGCGGGGCTACACTGACGGGATTCATAGCTCTGAGCAGGTCCGTCGACATTCAACCTGGTTGATTCGCGATTTCGTTGAACAACCCCTGCTTCACACAGAGTTCGCTGCACCATCTTAATATTTTATACATAATTTATTGACAGGGTGCAGCGTGAGTTACATTTAGAAAAGTTCAAGCTAAGGACCGGGATACGTAGATCGCGGTCATCGCTCCCACTCAATGACCAATTGCACTGAGAATATCATGGGAGAGGCCAAGGTTCGAGGGCATTTGCTCGAGCTACACTTCCTTTTTCTCTCCGTCAACGGTTTATGAAATTTAAATTCAAGTTGAACTGTTCGATATGTTTGATTCTCCGGCGACAGTGTTCATTCCACCTTGAATGTGGTTCACGTTTTCCGGCCTACAGTCTAAACGAGTTAGATTCAGTCAAGTTCAACCTAAGAACAGAGAGAAAGCCCTCGTAGATCGTGGTGATCCCTCCTGCTAAATAATTGATCTGTGGTGATGCAATTCAAATCCGAGGAGAGATGGAGGTTCGAATCCTCCCGAGGTCATTAGGAATGGCATCCGGTCTTTTTTTCTCCGCCGACAGCTCCCTCCATCCCGCTCTGTAAATTTTATTCAAGTTGAACTGGTCGATATCTCTGTTCTCTGGCTATCTATTCACATGTCAATGGCTGCTCTCTATAATCTGGATTCAATGTCAATTAAATTTCCTCAGTTCAAGTTAAGAACAGAGAGAGAAAGCCCTCGTGGATCGTGGCGATCGCTCCTGCTATGTATGAATGTGGTTTTCAAAGTGATTCAAGGAGAGGCGGAGGTTCGAATCCTCCCGGGGGCATAGAAATATTATGATTTTTTTTTTTGGACAATGGCCCTGGGCCCTGGCAAGTGTTAGCTTTTGAAACTGGTTCTTCGAAGTGGTTCTAGGTGAAATTTTAATTATGTTCAAATCTCGTGAGTGTTATCGTTGATGTTCAAGGATGCATTCTAGAATCTGGGTTGATTCACTCGGCATGGGGGCCGGAAGAGGTGGAGGAAGCCCTCGTGGATGGTGGTGATCGCTCCTGTTGCATGCCGATCAAGTTTAGATACAATTTCGGGAGAGGCGGAGGTTTGAATCCACCCTTGATGGCATGGTGTACCCTCATCATTTCATTTTTTTTGGGCATCATGTCGAAATCACCATCTGGTTGAAATTTCTAATATCCTCAAGTCTCCGCACTATTCCAATTTACAACGTAGGTAGATTCATTCAAGTTCAAGCTATATAGCAACAGAGACAGAAAGCCCTCGTGGATCGCGGTGATCGCTCCTGTTGCATGCCGATTAAGGGATATGATTTCAGGAGAGGCGGAAATCCTCCCGAGGGCATGTGGCTACAGTTCCAGTGTTTTTTTTTTTTTTTGACAGTGGGCAACCCAGGGCCTTCGAAGTTCAATCTACTTGATTCAGCATTTAGTGAGAGTCTGATATCTAACACTAGCGCGATTTTATGGCTATGCATTTATTTTGTGTTGCCGTTGTCGACGGTCGTCATCTGCAGTTCAGATTCAGTCAAGTTTGAGGTATGAATAGGGACAGAAAGCCCTCGTAGATCGCGGTGATCCCTCCTGCTAAATAATTGATCTGTGGAACTTATGCAAGTCCGAGGAGAGATGGAGGTTCGAATCCTCCCGGGGGCTTATGGTTACAGTTCCAGTGCTTTTTTTGTTTTTTGTTTCTCCGCCGACAGCTCCCTCGGTCCCGCTCTGTAAAATTTATTCAAGTTGAACTGTTCGATATCTCTGAGTCTCTGACTATCCATTCATGTGTCAATGGCTGTTCTCTATGACTCGGATTCAATGTCAATTAAATTCACTCTCAAGTTCGAGCCAAGAACAGAGAGAGAAAGCCCTCGTGGATCGTGGTGATCGATCTCACTCAATGGCGAGGCAACCAGTTACAGCCGTTTGCGGAACTTAGGGCGCGGACGATTTTTTTCTGTTTTCAACCATTTTGGGCAGAACAACTGCCCCGACTTCAATTTTTGTCAGATTGCCTCGGGACATATCTCATTCTACTCGCAGTGAAAATCCGCAGTCAATGGTCTCCTTGATCTTTTGTTTTGGTTTCCAAATAAAATTTTCACCCAAAAAATCCTGATTTCAGCCAGGACAGCTGCGGCATTAGTATTTCACCCCCTATTGCTCTAATTTTTGATACGGTGGACTTCTATGTATTATCTAGTCAGCAGAATACCGGGATAGTGAATGTGATGCCAAGTACTTATACAAATTGCAGGCCAATTGAGAGCTCAAATCGGCCCAGTATTTCCTGACCGCTACATTATAACTAGATGTTATATTCACTATCCCGGTAGTCTGTTGACTAGATAATACATAAGAGTCCACCGTATCAAAAATTCAGAGCAATCGGGGGCGAAATGCTGATGCCGCAGCTGTCCTGCCTGAAATCAGGATTTTTTAGGTGAAAATTTTATTTGAAAACCAAAACAAAAGATCAAGGAGACCATTGACTGCGGATTTTCAGTGCGAGTAGAATGAGATATGTCCCGAGGCAATCTGACAAAAATTGAAGTCGGGGCAGCTGTTCTGCCTAAAATGGCTGAAAACAGAAAAAAATTGTCCGCGCCCTAAGTTCCGCAAACGGCTGTAATGATCTTATGGGCGGAGGTTCGAATCCTCCCGAGGGCATGTGGTCGCATCAACTGTAGACGATCTTTTATTTTCCTCCCCACCAGAAAAGTGGTCAGCCCCCGACGCCAGGTCTGTAAATCTGAAACAAGGTCTGATTGAATTTTTCAAGTCTCACTCTGAATCCGATTCCTATGAAATTTAAATTCAAGTAGAACTGGTTTCTCTATGACTTGGATTCAATGTCAATTAAATTTACTCTCAAGTTCAAGCTAAGAACAGGGACAGAAAGTTCCCCGTAGATCGCGGTGATCCTCCCACTCAATAGTATCCCTGAGGATCTTGAGGGAGGTGGAGGTTCGAATCCTTCCGGGGCCATGCGGTTCTCTAAATTTGGATTTCTTTTTTTTTTACAGTGGGAAAGTCGAAACCCTAGGGCCGTCGAAGTTCAATCTATTTGATGCGACATGGAGAGTCTAACACTAGAGCGATTTTATGGCTATGCACTTATTTGGCGTTGCCGTTGTCGTCATCTGCAGTTCATATTCAATCAAGTTTGAGGTAGGAATAGGGACAGAAAGCCCTCGTAGATTGTGGCGATCCCTCCTGCTATATATATGGTTGTAAAGTAAATGCAAGGAGAGATGGAGGTTCGAATCCTCCCCAGGGCATGATTTATGTGTTTTGTTTTTTCTCCGCCGGCAGTCGTCGCTATGGAGCGTAAATTCACGTTAAACTGGTCAATATCTCTGATTCTGCCGTTATCCATTCATATGCCAGGCTGTTCTCTATAATCTGGATTCAATGTCAATTAAATTTACTCTCAAACTCAAGCTAAGAACAGGGACAGAAATTTCCCCGTAGATCGTGGTGATTGCTCCTACTCAATGGGATTTCAGCCAGGCAAATAATAATTTGGAGGTTCGAATCCTCCCGAGGGCATTGCGATAGTATGCCTCATTTTTTCTCTCTCTGCCAACGGCCTCCTCCGTGAAATTTAATCTGGTCAGTATGCTTGATTCTCCGGCGATGGAGGTCATTCGACTTTGAATGTGGTTCAGGTTTTCCGGCCTGCAGTCTAAGCGAGTTAGATTCAGTCAAGTTCAAGCTAGGAACAGGGACAGAAAGCCTTCGTAGATCGCGGTGATCCCTCCTGCTTGATACAGTTGCATTGTAGAAGTCTGAGGAGAGGTGGAGGTTCGAACCCTCCCGAGGGCATGTGGCTTGCGTGAAAGACTTTTTATTTCCTCCGCACAGGGAAAGTTGTAAGCCTCCGATGCCAGGTCTGTAGATTTAAACAAGGTCGAATTCACGGTCTGGCCGAAATTTCCAATATCCTGGAATCTCCATAAGCGTTCCAATTTATCGTTGATGTTCAAGGATTCAATGTAGAATCTAGATAGATTTGATTAACCTGAGGGGAGGAGGAGGTGGAGGAAGCTCTCGTGGATCGTGGCGATCCCTCCTGCTAAATAATTGGTCTATGGTCGATGCAATTCAAATCCGGGAAGAGATGGAGGTTCGAATCCTCCCGAGGGCATGATTTATGTGCTTTGTATTTTCTCCGCCGACGGTCGTCGCTATGGAGCGTAAATTCACGTTGAACTGTTCGATATCTCTGAGTCTCTGACTATCCATTCGTGTGTCAATGGCTGTTCTATATGACTCGGATTCAACGTCAATTAAATATACTCTCAAGTTCAAGTTAAGAACAGGAACAGAAAGTCTCAGTAGATCGTGGGGATCGCTCCTACTCAATGGCGAGGCCTTCAGCTAATGATCTTATGGGAGAAGGCGGAGGTTCGAATCCTCCCGGGGGCATGTGTTGCTGTCTTCCTCTGTTTCTTTTTTCAACAGCGGGCCCTGGCCAACGGTAGCTTTGAAAACAGGTTTGTCCACATTTAACTGGCTTGATTCACTACTATCTAGTTCAAATTTCCAATTTCTTCAAATCTCCGTGAGTATTACAATTTATAGTTGACATGCAAGGACGTAGTGTGAATTAGATTCACTCAACATAAGGGAAGGAAGAGATGGAGGAAGCCCTTGTGGATCGTGTTGATCACTCCCAGTCAATACTCACGTCTTCTGGAAAATATGAGGAGAGGCGAAGGTTCAAATCCTCCTGAGGTCATAGGTTGGCTGCAATTGTGTTTTATTTCTACAGTGAGCCCAGCCAGGTGGTGGCTTTGAAAACAGGTGCCGCGAAGCTTAAACCGCTTGATTCACTGTGAGATGAGCGGAGAAGGCAGGATTGGGGTGCCTTGGTAGACAGCTGCGAGTCTGCAACGCAACCATGGATGGTGGCATTTTTTAGGAGCTCACTCGATCTTAACGGAAAGAAGAAGAAAAAAGGACGAAACAAAACTGGTTTACCGTGAATGTATGCCCTCGGAAGGATTCGAACCTCCTCTCCACAGATAGCCACAAGTATCGAAATCTGATATTGGGCAGGGGTGATGACCACGATCCACGAGAGCTTCAGCACTTGGTTTCTAGCATTATATTGAGCGAATATAGTTCGGAAGACAGGGCGGCGGAGAATAAATTCACAAGTCAGCGATTTCGCCGATCCTCTCTTTCCCGGCAAAGAACTTTCTGCTTCCCGCCGAAAGGTACAAGGACAAAAGCAGAAAAAGGTTCTACTTTGCCTCATATGCCCTCGGGAGGATTCGAACCCTCCGTCTCTCCTCTGATTCTGGGTTCAACATCTATTGAGCCGGAGTGATCACCACAATCTTCATGGGCTTGAGCAGTTGGTTTCTAACATTATCGAGTGAAAATAGTTCAGAAGACAGGCTGGAGGATAAATTTTCGAGTTACATAATTGGAGTAGCTTCTGGAGAATCATTCTCTTTCCGCAACGAAACTTTCTGATTCCTACCGAAAGATAACAGGACAGCACAAAAAAACAGACTTTCACCCAATATGCCCTCTGAGGATTCTAGCCCGCTCTCCTCAGATGTAGACCAAACGAAACCATTTTATTGAGTAGGAGTGATCGCCACGATCCACAAGGGCTTTCAGCACTTGGTTCCTAGCATCATCTTGGGTGAATATAATTCAGAGGACAGGCGGGAGAATAATCATAAATTCTCCAGTCAATTGGAGTAGCCTACAATAAATAAATGGCGTGAGATCTCTTCGAGAATCACATCAACCCCAGTTCATCCATCCTCTCTTTTCCCGACCAAAAAATTCTGCTTCCCACTGGAAGATACAATGACAAAAGAAGAAAATGACATCAACTCCTCCAATGCCCTCGGGAGAATTCACCCGCTTCTCCTCAGTTCTATCATTACACTTGTATTGAGCAAGAGAGGTCACCACGATCCCTGAGGGCTTTCAGTACTTGGTTTCTAGGGTTATCTTGAGTAAATTTATATCGGGGAAATTACATGTACATCAGCCAATGGAATAGTTACCTTCATGATCGGAAAATCACTTGGTTTATGCTATTTCCATGAATTCATGCTGGTAAGACCTTCTAGGACAGAAAAAAAACAATGAGTATCTCCCTATATACCTTCGGGAGGCCTCTCGTCAGATGAGCATCCAAAATCAATTGAGCAAGAGCCGATCCACGAGGGTCTGCTGTTTAGTTTGCAGAAAACTCGATATTTATGGGTCCGAGATACCTCTGGGAAAGTTAGTTGGTTCATCTAGAATATAATCAAGTTCCGAGTCCGCATTTGGGTTGCTATGCACGTGCAGGCGTAGTGGGGGCTGGCCTTCTAGAACAAACAACAATAAATGTTCCTCCTGACTTGCTCCTGACTCGGCATCGCCATGAGGAGTGCTATATATGCGCTGCCACTTGGATTGTTGTCAAAATTCTCATGTTTTCCCGCTTCTTCGTCGAACTCTTCTCACATCCACCGATCCCGGTGCCGCCAGGTATGCGCGTCGTTCCATGCTCAGCTCTGGATATTGCACAGCGGGACATGGTCATGACAACCGGCCTCGTTATCGACGCCCGCCTGGATGTCGAAAAACTCGAACACAGCCTGTGGGCGCTCGTCACGCGCAAGTTTCCCAGAGCCGGCGCTCGGCTTGCGTTCAGAAACAAGGTACATCCGTGCAGCGTTTTGTCCCTTATTCGTTCACCTTCCACAACATAAAGGTGTACGAGTTCCACATTCCTTTCAAATTTGATGCAAACACCCCCCTGTCGTGTTCACAACGGAGTATCACCACGAACCATACCGGTCGCCTCAGTCTGCGCGTCCGGACATTCACGGGCTCGCAAACCGGTCCGATTCAGAACCATTCCTCTGCCAATTCCCAGGGATGAGGATGTATCTAGTGAGCAAAACGTGCCCCATATCCACGGCAGGGTTCATTGCATCCAACCTGCCCATGCTGCATGTGCACGTCTCCGTTTTCGACGACCTCACCCTCATCGGGATCACCACGTCCCAGATGGTATTCGATGCGCCCGGAATATCGACCTTCCTCTACTCGTGGACGCGGGTGATTTCTGGACACAATCTTGACGAGATCCCAGGTATGGAGTGGGATCTGGCGCCATTCGAGAGCTTCTGCCCTCCGACAACATTGAATTATTCCGTGCGCGGATACGCGTATTTAACGCCTGCACAGTCCCCGATTGTCATGGGTGATCCAATACTTTCAAAGCTTCTGTCCTGGGTGCGGGACTGGTTGGACCCCGAGGTCAGTCAGCTCATCCGGGTACCAAAAGCATTTCTAGAAGATCAAAGGCGCCAAATAATGGAAGAATTGAAGCAGGAAGGGTCGACTGAGTGGGTTTCGAGTTCCGATGTCCTCATGGCGTGGTGGTTCAAGGTTCGCCTTTTCATCTGACCATTAATCGAAAAATGGATTTCCTTTAGGCGAGCTACAGCCTCCGCAGGAGGGACGACCCGACGTGGGTGCACATCCACATACGCGTGAACCTGCGCCCCAAACATATTTTCCCCGGCGGGTCCATTCTCACGCAGCCGTATATTCACAACGCCTCATCGACAATCCCCGTCCGGCTAATTCCCGCTCGGGACTTCCAAGCGTTCTCCCTGCGCGATCTCGCACTGTTGATACGCCGCGCCATCACAGAGTACGACGCCGATATTCCCGCTTTCGAACATGAACTGCGCTGGCGCAATGCACACCCGATGGTCCGGCTTTATCGCTGCCCGCCTTGGAATGAGAGCGAGTTGCAGACGAATTGGTGTGAAGCGGAGACCCAATCGCTTTCGGAGCTAGATTTTTCTCCAGTGCGTAGCAGGAGCGACTCGGACTGGGAGAAGAAAAAGAGCGCGCGTGTGCTGTTCGTCCTCACGGACACTGTGGTAACTGTTCAAGAAGAGTACAAATGCGAAGAGGTACCCCCATTATTGTGGGGTACCCCGTCGTGGAGGAGTAGGCGAGGGAATGGTGCAATTCTGATGGAGAATGCGGATTCTATATGGATGAGTCAGGTTAAAGGCAGAAAGGAATGGGAAGAATTGCGTCGGAGCGGACACTTTAGATTTGTCAAGTTTGAATAAATCACTGCTATTTATCTAAAGACCTCACCTAATAGAGAAGTAAGTTCGAACTCGATGGAGTGGTCGGCGCCGAGAGTCGGTGATGCTCCATTCAAAATATTCGAAGATAAATAAAATGGAACGGTTAAAAGTTTGGCTCAGTCAGAGTTGGAGCGGCCAAAAGT